ACTAGAAATTACAGCGATTTTATTAAAAAGCTACCCATTAAGTTTTTCTACTGGTATAAGACTAGTCTATTACTAAACAATTGGGAAAGTCTCAAAATTTGTTTGACAACGAACTAAGTTTTTAATAATATTTATAATAATTATTTATCTTACAATAAGATGAACTATTGATTTTTTCGAGCTTTTCGAACTAATAGAAGGTTAGCATATCAGAAAAAAATTAACTAGTTACTTTTGTATACACTTTGAACTGGTATAAAACTAGTATTATTCTGAATAAAATCTTGGGATTATCACGTATTGGGTCAACTTTGTTTATAGATAAGCTGCATGCCAAACCATTTTAAACTAGTTTTGAACTAGTTTATTTGCCTGCAAAGTGGATGTAAATATGTATGTATTTATATATATATCTATAGAATACATTAAAGCCCACAAGCACTTTTACTTTTGCCAGCACACACACATAAAGCAGTTCACTTCCCTAAATATTTGCATTTACTTTTGATCAAGTGCATGCAGGCAGGCAGGTTCAGTCGTGTGTGTGTGTGAGTGTGTGTGTATGCATGTGTGTGCATGTGTGTAATATGGTATTTGACTGCTGCATTTCCGTTTTATCAATTTGCATATTGTTTTGCGAGTATGCAAATAATTGCACAATAAATGCACACACACACACACACTCAAACAGGACTACTTGTACTATTTCAATGTAAAAACTATGCAAATAAACACTCACACACACATATATATACATTTGCACATACATATGTAAGTGGATAACATTGTTTGGTGCAATGAACGTTGCGAATATAAAATATATAGAAATTGGCACATTTAAGTCATATAAACTTGGAAAAAGCATACGCTGTTTGAGGCAACAGCTGGCGCTAACGTTGTTGCAGTTGGTTTTGCTGCTGCTGCTGCTGCTGCTGTAGTTGTGAATTCATTTTGAGTTATGCAATACATACTGGCAAACAAGAAAACTATGACAACAGCGCATGACAAGTGCTGTCAGCAATGTACAAAATGAAATTGTCAAAAATTGTCAAAAACGAGCCAACAACAACAACAACAAACATATACGCATATATGGTATGTGAGCTGACTTTGTATGCGTAGTTTCATTCCAAATTCCAAGTATGTAAATGCATTTTTTCGTCATTTCGTTGCTCTTTTCAACAAATTTGAATTTCATTCGAGTATTCCCAGTTGAAATGTGCAACAAAAGTTTTTCTCCTATTTCAGCAGTTAAATTGTACAACTTTATGAAATTTAATTTAATCTAAATACAAGTTGACTATGCCAAGTGTGCGTAATGGGCCAGCCATGCATTGGTTGGGCAAATCTCAGTTGGTGCACAATTCCATGCAACAATTTTACATAAACACATATGACATACATAGGTATATATGTAAATGTACTGATTTGTTTTTGTATGTACTGTTTGTGCGTGCACTTTTAAGTTGTCCCATAAACTTTTGCCTGTTTACTGCTCACTTTTGTTGATTGGCCTTTTTGTATCGGAATTAGAAATGCAAATTCACAGCTGCTGCATATTTTTGAAATTAAATGTAATGCCGTGCATGCATGCATACTTTTATGGTCGTTAAAAAAATGTGCTTTGCATTTACGTATATTTATGCTTTCACTAACGAATCCATCTGGTCAATTTAGGTCAAATGTCATCGAGAATTTGCATAGAAGCAATGTGTTACTTCGGAATTGATGCAAATAATGTACTTCCGGCCTAAGAATGACATCCATTAATATTTTGACCAAAGTGTTCATTCGGCCATGTAGGTACAGTCAGTAGTTGGACCGTCTGAAGGAAGAAATCGCTTAGAAGCACCTAGATTTGGCCAGCAAGAGCGGAATTGTGATTCACCAGTACAACGCCAGACCACACATATGGATATTGACTCGCCAGAATCTCCGAGAGCTTTGCCTATAGGGAGCCATAATGACATATATTAGATATACCTAACTATGGTAAATATATAATATATAAATAAAAAGTCGGCGATTTTCGGCTGAGCTCTTCTGCCATTTTCTGGTTTTTGCGTATTGATGTTTTCTCCAACAAACGGAGTTTATACTAAGCCGTCTCCAAACGGCTGATGGTTTTTTATGAGGAGCTTTATTTTATGCCAGAAACACACTCGGAGGGGTTGACATTCCCTTCCTAGGGGCGCCTCAAGTTTGAAAAATTTATTTTGTATGTGGGTTGAACCAGGCCTTGAACCCTGGTCTTCAAAATAGCAGTACCAAATGCTAGCTAGCCGACAATGGTCGCCACATGGTAGATACTAACTGAATTATGAAAAAAGTTGGGAAATATCAAAGGTTTCCTTAAATGCCTTGCAATGAAAAATATTTATGTGAGCCACTGCAACTCAAATAAAAGTAACCAGCTATAAATTCAAAAAAAATATTAGAGATTTTTTAACAATTTTGTATCTGATAATTGCTCCTCGCAGAAGCTTCATAAAATCTCTGCTCCAATTATTTGTATTTTTATCTACTTTTTCGGGGCTGCTGCTGTCACTTTAAAACCGCTGAAGCGATATTCCGCTATCTATCATCAATTTAAGGCAATTTTTTCTAATAATTTAGACAGGGCATAGTGAACCTCCTTCGAGTAGGGCTGATGAATTTCTATGCCAAGCTTTTATTTCATGCCTGAAATACTTTCCAAATGGATTGACATTCCCTTCCCAGAGGGGACCGCAATAATAAAAATTAATCAATTCAAACAATTTTCCAACCCATATTAAAAAAGTTAAAGTTAAAGTCTTAACTCAAATTTTACATAACTTTTCATATATATATATACATACATAAAAATATTTTACGAATTGATATAAAACTCGATTTAGTAAAAAATTATATTCAAGGGCTTCTTTTTTATTTCCATCAGAGCTATTATTATTATTATTTTATATTAATTCTCGTTATATATCAATGAGTTCTAACCAGGGTATATTTTGAAATTTTTTTGTCCATTTTGATTTGTAAATATTTTAAATAGTTTTTCAATAGGGATATGATTCAGGATTATTACTGTGTATCACAAATATTATAACTCATACAAATTAGATCTCGCCAAATTTTGATTCAGAAAAGCGAAAAATTCAATAAATTAATAAAATATGTAATTGATAACACAACATTTATAAAATAAAATAAAAAATAAATAAAATAAAATAAAATAAAATAAAATAAAATAAAATAAAATAAAATAAAATAAAATAAAATAAAATAAAATAAAATAAAATAAAATAAAATAAAATAAAATAAAATGAAATAAAATAAAATAAAATAATATAAAATAAATTAATATAAAACGAAATTAAATAACATAAAATATAGAAAAAATAAAATGAAATAAATAAACGAAAAATTTAAAAAATATAATACAAAATAAAAAGAGATAAAACGAAGAAAACTAAAATAAAATAAAATAAAAAATATATTTTAATATAAAAGAGAACGAAATAAAATTGAATGATCTTAAAACATGCAAAATAAACAAATTAACTTAATAAAATTAAATGAAAATATAAAAATGTTATAAATAAAAAAATTTAAAAAAATGTTATTCATAGAATAAAATTAAAATATATAATAAAACTGATCTAAAAAATATAAAATCCAATTAATATGGCAAAGTAAAAAACATAATTTAGTAAAATGATATTAAAATTTGTAAATGATATTAATATATAAAATATACAAGATCAAACAAAAAACTAATGAGTGAAAAAATTAGGCGAAATAAATAGAAAAATGTATAAAAGTTTGTTTCTAAGTTTTCGCAAATGAGTATTGTATACGGCAGGCCAACGAAAGCAACTCCCCCTCACTTTTTCTAGTAAAAGAATATATTTTCATTAGGCATCAGGCACCCTGTTGTGATTGCCCTGCAGGCATTTGAAATGCAACTGTCCACAAATTACAACGAGCTCTCCCCCAGGTCAGCGACTGCATGAAACGGAAAGGCAGACGAAATGAAGGCTGTTTGATAGATGAGGGACAGAGGCTGAGGATTGTGCGCTGTGAGCTGTTGGCTCTAGAGACTCAGGTTGGTTTTTATTTGTACCATCCCGCTTATGCACTTTGAGCGAGTGTGTTATGCATATAAACTACTCTTTGGTGGATACAAATATTTCAAGGAAACTTAGTTAAAGTCGGTGGATTGGTGAGTAGGTTGGCGAGTTGATTTGTTTTTCCAACTGCTTAAAATTCTAAGCGAGTAGAAAATTAAAACATGAAAGTACGAAATGAAAATATTTTCTATGCTGCACTACTTAGCTATATGCCGTTGAAATGTTTTATAAACACAACGTTGAGGGTGAGTAAAGAAAATAATGTTAAAGGCGGAAGGAATTAGTGTTTGTGTATGAAGTGAGGGGGTTTTCCAATGAATGGACATGGGTAGAGTTATGCTGCGAATATTGCACTGACTCACTCACTCATACCTATATTATGTACGTGCCAACGGTATGTCCAGCAACCCCTTTTCGGCAAGTGATGTGGCAAGCAACAACCCGCATCTATCGCTCAAATACAAAAGTGATCCAAAAAGCATATGTGTATGTATGCACGTGGCATTTTGTTGTTGCAAATACTACATATTTTGTGTACATATTGTTGCATGTTATTTGAGTGCAACAACGCCAAAAGTAATCCAACAAATCCATCAAAGTAATTGCGGAAATCGTAAACGAGCAAAAAAAATCTCTCCAAAATAAAAACAACAATAACAAATTGAAAAGGATGCCATCAATGCGGCGCATAAAAGGATTTGCTATCAATTTTATTTATTCTATTTTCTCTTCCAGCAAGCGGAGGGCATGTAAACATGTGTTGCAAAAATCACAAAAGCACACTCACACTTACAAACATTGATATTTATTTTGCTTTTCATATGTTTTTCTCTTTTGTTTAGCACAACAACAACAATAAAATAAATGTTGATTATCTATGTTAGCACTCACCTTGGCCCAACAAGCGCGGCGGCATGCCACACGTCGTCTTTGTTCACGCGCCTCCGCCGAATTTGGTTCTTTGAGGGGTTTCACCAAACGTTGATAGTCGCTTACATCTTGCTGCTCAGCTCTAGGCACCAACGGGCTGCCCTGTACTGCATTGATGCACAAATTGGCCAGACAGCACAGAAGGAGCAGCGCAAGCCTGGGTGTACGTGCAAATCTGACTGTGGTGGCGCTCATGCTTGATGCTGCACTTGTGGCAGCTATGTGTGGCATGTTGAAAATATTTATTTTTTGCAATATTTTTGTTTAAAATTTTGAATGTTTTTCTATTTTTAATTATTTACTTATTTCTTCCCGACAAGATTTCCGTTTAAGGAGATTTTTTCAAACACTTTTTTTAAAGTTCTTTTGTACTTTACCGTAAGCATTAGTTTTGATTTAATTGTATGTAGTTTATACTGCTTGCTTCTATACAAAAAAAAAACTGATAGAAATTTAGTCGAAAATTATAAACGTGAAATTTTTATTAATTTCTTAAAAATATTTTATAAAAGTTTTATTTTCCATATGAAAAATTTTTGTATGACCGAGTTCTATTTTCGTATTTAATCAACGCATATAATGGCATAGAATCATTGTCATTTAATTTTGAGCTCTTAAAAATTTCTAAAATTATAAGAATTTTAATTTTGAATCATACACGTTGTAATTTCCAAAAATACTATTCATGATATAAGTTTCAGTCTAAAAGGTTTCCTTCTTAGTATCTTCTCCTCATCTAAGACCGGAAAAAATAATTTCTTTGGTGGCTACTAACTTCTAATCCTCTACAGAATGTGTTGAAACTATTGCTTTCTAACATATAACCATTAAAAATTACACTTTTTTTAATTTTAGGAATGAGTTTCGATTAAATTTTTATAATAAAAAAAAGACTTATCTATCTGATTTGAATTTAAAATTGGCAATTTTTCTGATGAAACTTTGCTTCACCAAAATAATTTCGAAATTTTTCCATGGTCAGTGTCAGTTAATAAAGTCTGAAGAATGATCTTCAGAGATTGGTTTTCAATTTCACGAATTAAAAATTCTTAAGAATTTTTGTGGGCGTTCGAAATTGAATGCAACTTAATTTACCATATTACATAAGTACAAAATTCAAAATTAAAATTTTTTTGTCTTATGTTACTTATGGTATGAAAGATTTGAAAAATGCCAAAATTTAGTTAAAAATATACAAAAAGCCGTGAACGTCGCATTATCTATATATTTTTGAATAATATTTTGATTTGACTTGCTTTACATCGCCAAGAGTTATACCATAAATTTTATTTGTTTTAAAAACTGGTTTAAAATTTTTTTTAAATCGAAACATATGGAAACTCTTGTCTCATACAAGCACAATTTTGAACGTGGAAAAGTTTTAATGAACAGTGATGCCGCTTGATTTTAAGAGAAACGAATTTTGGAGAGATTTTAAGCCAAAAAATTCCATTTGAATTTGTTAATAACACAAAAAAAATTATAATTTAGCAAAATAATTTTGAATAAGAAAATGCATGTGCTTTCTTTTCTGTTCTCTCCGGTTATTGCCACTTATCCCCTCTATTTTGTTCGTTTCAAAAGATTCCTTGTTTTATTGAAAAAAAAAATCTTCTCCTTTTTACATTATGATAAAAATAGTTTTTTGCCTCTCTCAACTAATTCGTAACGTTGTAATTATTGTTTTTCTTCAAGTTTGTTTTTCTGTTGTCATTCCCTGTAGGTAAAGGTAAAATGTCAACACAACGATTGTTTTCATCTTTGTTTATTTATAAAAAAATATTTTCTTATTTTTAATTCACGCAATCGATTTTGCATGCCCGACTGTGCCGCTTGCCCTCGCAGATCGCGTGAAAAACACGTTTGGCGCTCAGTGACCTCCAATAACAGCAATAACAACAATATCAACAATAAGAGCACGACGACCAACAAAAACAATAAAACGCAACGCAACGCAACACGAACGTTGTCACGCTTTAATCGCAGTTTAATCGACCGCTACAAAACGTGATTTTTTCCTCAAAATGCACACACACGCACACAACCATACACACCTCTTTTCACTTATATCCCTTCTGGGCAAAATTTTGCAAAAAGCTTCGCATGTATGTAAATATAAGACGTGTGGAAGCAGCTGAAACTACAACGAAAAGTGGATTTGTAAGCAAATCACCAAATCACAATATCTTTTCTTTTCTTTCAATCCAGCAGCAAATAATCAAAACACCGACGGCTTTGCGACTCGCTCACACGCACTACAACTACTGTCGATACAACCGAAACCTCGGGGAGTCTACACTAAACTGTGTTTTGCAGAAATTTTCTACAAAATCGACACGACAGCGCCGATGTCCCAGCGTCGACAGCGACGCCACCGTCGTCGTGTATTGTCGTCGTCATATGCGTGGCTAGTGTCCCCCCCAAAAAAAAACCAACAAACACGGCGGGTAAGCAAGTCAGCTTAAATCAGCCTGCACATACAGCGAGCCAGCGAGCGAACGAGCAGCCAAGCCAGAGTCATCCCGGGCAGGCTGACAGGCTGGCAGACAAACCCGAATCAACAAACACACAACCACCATCATCGTCACGACGACAAGATGCTCATAGAACCCAGCCGCACTAATTGGATTATTTTGTGGAGAGTAGGAGAGCAGAGCAGTGAAAGCAATAGTCAAGAGTTGGCGTCGGTGCAGACGCCGGCAGCGACGTTACAAGCTCTAACCATTGCAGTTGGCAGCCGAAGTGGCTTAGTCGACTTTGTTGGCTGCACAGCGACCATTGTGCACCACCGCCCTGCTGCTACAGCACCGCTAACCTTCGCCGAGGTTAAACGTCAGCGTACAGCGAAAGTTGATCTAGTTCAGCGCTGCTAGAAAATAGCTGTAGGTTGCAGCGGCTGTTCTACAGCCACTGACTGCACATTCAAAACTCTCCACTTGCAACATCTGCACGGGCACCCCATTTGCAGCGCGCTGCACACTATGATAAAGTACGCAAGCGCCAAACAAACTCATCACAACGTGTTGCAGGAGCATACACAAGTGGGGCTCCATACAAATATCTAGCCCCTGCAGCGTTTTCGAATTGTTTACGAACTTGTTCGCTCGTACCAAGTTGGATTTAATGTGCTGGACATGTTTGCTTGGGGTTTTGTGGTGGTTGCAACAGCTGTTGCTTTAATACAATAGAATGTTGTTGCAAAGCTACTTGGCATTGTGTTTGGTGTTGTGTTGGGAGCTTCTTTCGTTGGTGGTGGTGGCTAATTTTCTTTGTATTAGTGCGCGCGTTGGCCGCTTAGTGGCGCTGCAAGCAGCCAGTATGATTTTGAGAGAAGCAGTTTAGTTAGATAGCGGGTATGGCATTTATTTCTTCATTCTAATATGAAATTGAAATTAAATTAAGTAAAATTTTCTAGTTGCAATCGCCTCTCGGCAGAAAACATCAAGCCCTCCGATTGTATTGTATTTCGGAAATGAAATAAATCCCCCCATAAAAAACCATCAGACGTTTGGAGGCGGCTTAGTATATACTGTAGGTCCCTCGAGGAGCAGCTCGGACGAAAATCGCTTTCGTGATCCCCCAATTTGTGGTATGTGTTTATATATATATATATATATAAAGACAAGGAGGAGAAGACCACTGTCCACCGGGTATGGGTGTCCCCAAAGCAAGACAATATTATTGTCTGTCGTCTAAGCTTTTTTGATCGCCGCTACTAAACTAATAACAACTCGACAGGAACAACTCGCTGCGACGAGAATCTACGTGCTATCTTTGCGCCCTATTCATTGGAGCTGCTTTCCGCAAGGTGTAAGGAGAAGCAGCTTTAATCGTTGTTGGTGTATTTTTTCTTGACGTCGCACCACGAGACCATGAAGGCTGAAAAAAGTTGACGACTCAAAACACTCAACTGTTAGTTAAATTTAGTATTCGACTGAGAAAATATGGATTCAAATTTACTGGATACCAGGTCGGGTTTGGACATCGAAGGCAATATGATGGCGAATAAACTTACAGTGCATAATTGTGGACTTATGAAAGTGGAGCATTCGTAAAAAGTAATCTCTAGTTATGAGGCGAATCGGCATTGAAAACTAGTAGAGGATTACAGAGCCGCGAAATCTATGTAAAATAATATATGGTGCTAAGTTTTCGAAAAGAGTCTGGACTCCAAGCTGCTGGTAGAAATATTGCCTTTTGGCATCGCCTGACTTCACAAGGTACTTCTTCAGCGGTTACAAAGCGGCAATTATATATATATGAATATATATATACTCGTATATATTTGAGACACTGGAGCATGTAATCTGTGAGCTTTTGGCATTCGCAAATAATGTGTGATTTCTGCACAGAAAAGGTGCGAATATTCGATCCTAAATGAACAAATTGTTCAAACGACTTCTTTAATATACGAAGAGAACACCAATAGTTTTCGAACTAACGACTCAATAAAGGGTGTAGCAGCCAACGTGATTGATTGTAGTGTAGCTGGTAACACTCTCGACTTAGTAGACGAAGTAGTGTAACAAGATGGATCAACCGGTTTAACCTAACTATAATTATTGGATGAATGCAAGTGGTTTTAGTTAACTAAAGTCTCACACAGACGGGGTTAAGACCTTCGATGTCTCCTCAAAAAAAAATTATATCTAGTAATGCATTTCCCACAATTTTCTTCTCACTATTGACTAGAATATAATAGTTGAAGTCATTTGATAAATTTCTCCACTAAAAGCTCCTTCATTACATTTCAATGGGAAAGGCCTTCGCCACGCATAATTATTAATAATTAATAATATTTATTAACATTTCTAAAAAATTAAAGTTTATTTATTCAGCAGCCAATAAAATAAATCTCAAACCAATTTAGCTTTCAACAAGTCGCCCAGAGCGTGCTGGCCTCCAGCGGTTTGTTTATGAAATTTAACTGAATTCCATAGAAAATTATGAAAAAAATATTAACGATAAAAAAAAACAAATAAATAAATACATACATGTATTTATTTAAATTTGAACATATCGCCATTTCAACGATTTATTTGCATACATACATACCCTAAGCGGCACCAACAATGCATGCCATTGTTCCCGCAAGCTGTAAATTCATTATTAGCAACTGATCTTTTTCGATGATAAGTGACAAGAAAATAAATAACAAATCACTAACAAATAGAAAAAAACTCAAAAAAAATCTTTAACGACAAAAAAAATAAATAACAAAACACCAATAAAAGAGTCTCCGCTGAGCTTATTGTTTTCGAAATCCAATGCAGAGCAGAAAACTCTATTCAGCTTTTGTTAAATCGTGGTTAATCGTCACAAATAGCAATAGATATACATATGAACATATATATATTCATTCAATACATATGTATGTACATTCATATGAATAAAATTAAATACAGCTTAAAATGCAAATACAAGAAAATACAAAAAAAAATTTAATTTATAAAAATAGCCAAATTTGAATTGGTATTTTCACAAAGCAAGAGAAAAATAAAACAAAAATTAGTCAAATAAAAAAAAAATAAAAAAAAATTGTTAAATAAAATCAACGCATGTGAAGCTGAGAAATTTAAAGCAAAGCACTTCAAATTGAAATTTAGTACGAAATAAAATACAAAACTCAATAGGCAATAACAAAAAAGTGACAATAGACTAAAGTTAGTAACAAAAGACGCAAGAGTTGACAAAGTGGATTAACATATGTATGAAGCTTCAGTAGTGTCAAGAAACGTAGCAATAAATCTTGGAAAATAAAATTGTACATCAAATTAATCAAGCGCAGCTACAGGCTTTGGCAGTTAATTATTTATATTTGTTTCACTTAATTTTTATATTTTTTTTTCTTTTAATTTACTTTATTATAATTTTTATTTATTTTATTTAATCGTCTAAGCAAATGATAAATCCATAGGCTTTTGATATTGAAATTGAAACAAAGGCGTTTAACGCCAAACTGCTGCTCAACACACTTGTAGATGTGTACACAGGTACGTGTGTCACCTGAAACGATCCATAAACAATGTCGTCTGTCACTTCGAATGACTATTTCTTAGTTGTATTTGTACTTTATTCCCTCTTCCTTTCTACGAATTGTTCATTTTTTATATATTTTTTTTATTTTATTTTATTTTATTTTCTTTTTTCGCTGATTACTGATTATATTAAAAATTCCAGTACAACAACAACACGAACCATATAGCACAGCGCTGCAGAGTAGAGAAGAGCGCTTAAGATAGTTCAATAAAATATTCATATCTATGGCGAGTAGCCAGTGCTGGAGAGATACAAGACAAAATCGAAAGCCATAAATACTGAATGCTCGCGATAAAGAAACTGGTCAACCGACTGCTGTATTGCTGGTCTACACAAACTCTTTGCTGCTTAACCGTTGTTGTTGCTTCAGTTGGTGGTGGTGATAAAAACACTTACAAAATGCCTACAGAAGGTAAGCATACTAAAAGATTATAACAACAATAGCAACAAGAATATTTGTTGGTAGTTAAGTTGAAGATACAAGAAAGGCGACCGTTCGGTTTGGTTAATAAAAATGCTGGACATAGTATATGTTGACAAGTGTACAAAACGTAGTTGCTTCATAAAGTATAATAAAAAGACAATGGCAGTGGGACTTAATTGATTTGACAAAATTGATCTTTCTTTTTCGGAGAAATCAATTTACTTAGTGAAAAGCCTTTGACGAAATGGTACAAATTAAGATGAAAACCTTTAAATAAAGATTTGAACTAAAATTAATTATACAATGCTAAAAGTTTTCGAGTATATAAGTTTCTAAGCAACCTTAATCCGTGGAGTTAAGTTTTGTCCCAATGAAAAGGAGACTGCTCAAAATAAATTATTTTTGAAGTAAAATTCATTAATTTCTTTATAAGCATTATGTGGTTCTTTATAAGCTTAATTCCATATTTGTTTGATCGACAAATGCATTTGCATATGTAAATAGAGCGGAATCAATGTCCCACGGTTAGCGAGATTGGCTTGTAAAACTTTTTAGATTTTTTCAAAACAGTTTAATCCACAATGTTAACTATATCAGTAAAAATCATTGTATTATTCATCCAAACAAACCATATCTAAGACTTCAATAAATAACTGGTTGACCTTTAATCGATAAATGCATTTATTTAGTTGGTATAGCAGGCGCTATAGTCCTTTTAGCAAACGGTCTTCCTCGTTTAAGCCAATCAACACAAAAGTGGTTTATGAAACAGCGCTAATGACCAGGCGCCCGAATGTTATACACCCACCGTTGGACCTAAATT